CCTTATGGCTACTATAGTGTTTGAATTTGTAACTGTAATTAGGCTATGTTTATTTGCAGGGCCTATCTACGTATATAAAGATGATGCTTTCAACTCAGGTGAGATCAAGTTTTTGAGCTTTTGAGTTCTTAAATTTGTCTGCTTCAAGCATTTCTGATTTGGACTTTTTTTTGTTTTTCAGGCTCTTTTGAGTGCAATTGGGGTTGGGGAGAAATCCGCAACAGTTATAGGTGCTACCTTTCAGGTGAGTTATTTCTATTGCTGACATATAACACTTCTCCTACTTTGAAACTCAAGCGGTATAAATGGCGATTGATTATAGTGATTACATATTGCGTGTGATATGCAGTGGTTTCTGAGGGATTTTACTGGGATGCTTGGAGGCATATTGTTCACATTTTATCAGGTACATGTATCGTAGATTCTTCCCAATCATAGACTTATCGATTCTCTTTCCGTTTTCTCTTCTTTCAAGATGTAGCTTGGTTACGTTTTTATATGTTGTATGAGAACTTTGATGGTTCTTTTTGGTTTCTGAGTATCAATATCAGCCTCTAATACAATATGGGAACTGTCTGATTCTTCTGTTCTTCAGGGTTCCAACCTGGATAGTAATGCAAAAATGTGGCGTCTAGTAGCTGACCTTATGAACGATATCGGTATGTTCTTTTGTTAACTTTTCAGTAATCCCGCCAGTGACACATCCATACTTGAACTAATTTCCCTTATTTGGATCTGGGAGACTTTGAATGACTACAAGCTTTGTTGCTTTATTGCAGGAATGCTAATGGACCTTCTTTCTCCTTTGTTTCCATCTGCCTTTATCATTGTGGTTTGCTTAGGGAGCCTATCAAGGTCATTTAGTAAGTTTCATTTACTTGCATCAAACATTGAAGTTAAGATTTCCACATTAGTTGATACATCGGTTTTGAACATTTTTTCGATCTTTGTTACTTGTATTAGCTGGTGTTGCAAGTGGAGCAACCAGAGCAGCTCTAACTCAGCACTTTGCTCTCCAAGAAAATGCAGCAGATATATCTGCTAAGGTACTAACTTTTTTTCATTGTGAATGATTTATAAACTAATTGTGAAATGTTAAGAAGTTGTTTGTTCTATTTTATCTAACGAAAGGAAGGAAGCCAAGAGACTATGGCAACTATGATGGGCATGTCATTGGGAATGTTGCTTGCTCGGTTTACCTCTGGAAACCCTTTAGCTATTTGGTTCTCATTTCTCTCTCTCACCGTGTTTCACATGTATGGTAAGTTAGAGATGAAGATTGAAAGCCTTGATCAAATCAGAATTTCTCTAATTGTTTTCTTTTTTGGGAAATTGTAGCTTATAAAGCACTTGGTCGTTGTTTACTGTTTTACTTTCTTTTGTATCTAGCAAACTATAGAGCTGTCCGGTGTCTTGTATTGAATTCATTAAACATCGAGAGGAGTTCAATTCTTCTAACGCATTTCATGCAAACTGGCCAAGGTAATTTCAAAATTGCGTCATCGATTCTTGGAAAGCTTCGATGGCTTCCTTTGTTTTATTAATTGGTTCCTCTTTATCGTTGCATCATATATCAGTAACTTTCTTTAACTAAACATGTCACCAGTTCTCTCTGCGGAACAGGTTTCTTCAATGGAGGGTGTATTGCCCGTGTGGGCCACTTCATTGATGTCAACTAATTCAAATCCATTGCATAAGAGAGTGCACTTAGGTGTAAGAGTTTCTTCTCTCCCTCGTCTAGAAATGTAAGTTTTATACTTCAACCACCACAAATCAAGAAACTAAGTTTATCGCAGCTTTAAGGGAAATAACCTGCGTGAGGTTGACACATTTTTTGTGTAGGATGCAGCTGCTAAATGGTGTTGGAGCTTCTTCATACAAGAATGGTTTGATTGATTCTTTTCCATTATCTTTGTTTTCTGAAAATATATGGCGTTAACCCGGTTCTTGTCTATTGCAACCTCTCACAGCTAAGTACTTGCTGGCTCATAGAAAAGGAAATGTTAGTGTGATCTTGCACAAAGATTCAACGGCTGCAGATGTGTTGAAATCATATTTTCACGCACTTGTTTTGGCAAATTTTATGGAAAAACCCACATCATTTTATTCAGAAGGAGAAGCTTGGCTGGATAAACACTATGACGAATTTCTCAACAAGGTAAAATTAGATTGCTGTGCGTTTAAAGGGACTGTTTCACTTTTGATTTTCACTGTTTTTCCTTCTTCTATGTAGCTGAGATCAGGAGGTTGGAAAACAGAGCGTCTTCTTTCTCCTTCCATCACTTGGAGAGCAAACTGGATATCTCACACTTCGGGTGCCAAGATCGACTGAGTTTTATCGCCTATTAAGATCGAAACTGTTTGGTAAAAGACTGCAAACACACACAAAAATGTTAGTTATTGGTTTCCATAGTGTGGTGATGCAAGTATGGATCATATGCTTTTAAAAGGATTAGTATCTATAGATTTCATTAATGTGAGCTCTCAAGAGTTTTGTTCAATAAGTCTCCACCTACTTTTCTTGAACTACATGGACCTCATTCAATGTTATATAGATTAACAAACTTACAAAATCCAAAGTGGTTTTTACATTCTGATCAAAATCAACCAATATCAAAGTTTGAGGTTTCTAGAATAAGAACATAACCCAAAAGTTCCATATGTTTTAAACTGAAGGAAATGTTAGAACGTAGATAATTAATAAGAAATAAACTTTCAAATATTAAACTGAAAATGATCAAATAAATTAGTAATTAACTCGCAAAGTTTGATGTTTTCCGTTGTAACTATGATATGGCTTTATAAATAGCGATCATATTTGGATTAGTGAAATATCAAACAAAGAAACACATTTTCTAACATATATTACACTAACAACAACAAAAAGATAAGCATGGCTAAACTTAGTACCAAAATGGCTACCATCTTTGTTGTTCTAGCTCTGGTCTATGCATCGGTCCCTGCTTTTGCAGTCGAAGAAGGAGAAGCGAGAAAACTGTGGGATACATGTCTTCTTAAGATCACTCCCAAATGTGCTTTGGATATCATTGCTTACGTTTTCGGAAATGGAGCCATCTCCGATTCTTGTTGCCACGACCTTGTTCAAGAAGGAAGATTGTGTCACGATACGCTTATTCACTATATTTCTGATAGACCACATCTTCGTGCCAATGAAAGCCAATATCTGAAAAAGAGTGATCAACTTTGGACTCGTTGTGTCTCCACTTCTAAAATTGTTTAAAACCTTCTCGGGTTTGTATGATTTTGATTGAATGAAATGAAAAATATATGCATATGCTTATTGAATTATATAATGCC